TGACAAAGTATCTTAATTTTCAAGATTAACAGCCAATATGGTCAGTTTCAATACTCACATAAAAATATACAGAAGTGTAATTATATATGTTGAAAATCTATTTATATCATAAAGCATATAGGTAACACATGATGTGTAGAAACAAGCCTAAATGTTGGCAAGATTTCTTTAAGCTGGGACATTCAGTTTCTACCCAAATTAATCAATGCACTCAACATCTAACAGCATCTAACATTTGAACAGCAACCCATCACCACTGAATAAATGGATTCCTTCCCAAAACAATCATATTTTTTCCACCATGCTCATTTCATCATAAAGACACTCTCTTGCCATGCACAAAACTACAAATAGTTCTGCTCACATGTCTTTGACCGAAATGCTCTGTCAGTGATTTCAAGAAAGGCCAAGCCCTTAAACGTCCTCTCAATTAGCCACCCTTTGATATTCTCCCTGTTAGCTATCGCTCAAACTATTAAATGGTAACAGATGGAAATATCCCAAGTTCCATTTGACACAGGAAAAAAATATATAAAAGGGCTGCTCTGAAAGTAATGCCTACTACTTTATTATTTTGGCCTATGATATCAGAGGCGAGTGTTTGTGGTATGGCAGTAGAGGTTGAACCTTCCTATCGAAATTCCATTACATTTTGTAGTCATGTGACAGATGACAGCAAAGGTGCAGTCTGATGAAATCAAGCCTGACATGGAAGTGCTTAGGAAGGAAAGGTGTGGAACTGAATTCCTCCATGCAGGAAAAACTGCTCCCATTGACATTCATTGATGCTTGCAGAAGATTTATGAAGACCAAACAGCATATATGAGTACAGTGAGGTAGTACATTAGTACATGATACATTTGAGCAGTGGTGACAACAAGCCACCTCCACTGACACAGACGTTATGAGTGTAGCATGAAGGTTCTGGTTAATTGCTGGCAAAAATTCATAGCTAATAGTAGCAACTGTGTTGAAAAGTAGTGTTTTGTTGCTGAGAATTTCCTCTATCAAATAGTGTTACAGTGCTCTTTGTATCTGTTATAGTCTCCATGGAAATAAATAAGAAGTATTACTTTCAGAGCAACCTATGTAGTTTGGGAAAGTTATTATATATATATAATAATATATTTATTAGTGTTAATAGCAATAGCTAACAAAGAATCTACACTCTTATTTGAAGATGCTGATTGATTATATGCAAAAAATATATGGTCTGAAATGTAATAAAACGTAGAAAGTATAGCACGGTACATGGAGGACAAAAGCCAGTGTCTTCTTCTAAGTCCAGAAGCCAAGTTCAGAGCCCATCTAAAGCCCATCTAAAGTTAGAAAGTAAAGAATCCATTTGTAAGGGGAGGACAAACCTACCAATTTTTATTTTTGAATGCGGGGAACTAATACTGAAAAAAGGTCAAGACCAGGTAGACACCTTGAGGACAAAACAAACAAACAAGTAAACAAAAGACAAAGTAACAAGCAAACAAAAAATAGTTCAATAGACTGAAATGGAAAGAAAAGGGAGACCAGGAAATATCTGCAAACCATAGACGGGTTATATATCAGCTGATACTGTCTTATATTTTGAAATGGCTTTCATCAGGCTGTGCTGCTAATCTCTGGTAATGCTTTTTCAAAATATTTCTTTAACTTTGCAGGTCACAGGTCTTGGCTAGCCCATTTATTAAAAAAATTCCCTGTCAGAAATAGACCATCCACAGTAAAGCTGCTGACTGGATTCAGAAATACTTTCTGGACTGATTTCTGCTGCATCACTGGGTTTCCTTGTGTTGTCCAGTCTATCTTTAGCTTTGTTCAGTAAAGTTCTCTAAACATTTGTAAGACTTACATAGCCAAAGATACAGAGAATTTTAAGTTGACATTTTCAAGGCTTCTTCACTGACCGTGAATTTATAATTAATTCTTTTAATCGAACAATCATTCATTAGCCCTTTACTAAACACGTTACCTAATAACATTCTCAGTCTTTCAAGTTACTGCCACGTCTTCAATTTCCTTTCTCATAGACTAATAACAAGCTAAACTCACATCTTTACAAATCTGCAACATAGTACAGCAAATATTGCATCCAGCTTTTTGATATTGATTGCTCAATTACAAACAACTGCGAAAACAAAATAATTATATATATTTTTAACTAGTATTACACTTTGGCAGAACATAATTAAATTAGTAGTCAGAAGTTGTACAATAAAGAGGTATACACTCCTGTAATTTGTTCTTTAGATAACATCAGCTATAAAAGAGAAAAACTGCAGCTTTTCTTCTGATAAATTGTTCCATTTTTCAAATATAGACTGCATGATTTTATATTTTCAAAAGTGGATGGAAACATGTGAGGTACTATTATTTCTAAAAATAATTATATATGTATATTTTAACATCACAGGTATAAAATATTTCAGTTCTATAAACCTGCCAGAGATGTTCACCTCAGACTAAAAATAGACAAGAGTTCAAAGATAAGGAACAAATTTTTCTACTCTGTTTTAATTCTGTACTGCACAGAGTTAGATTTATAATATTGGTTGGAGTGGAAGTGCGTTTTGGAAAAAGAAATTAAATCTAGTTAGAATGGAACTAAGATGCCTTCTCCATGGAAACTGCTTGCCACATATGCTCAGATGAATTATTTGTCAGATTCTTCCATCAAATGTTTCAATTTGATGGAATTATATTTTCCTGGAATCTTCCACTAATAATTTCAAAGTGATATAAATATACAAATGTCTGTATTCCTGAAGATAATAAAGTTCTGTCACTCCAATACCACTTTTTTTTTATACCTTTCAAAGTCATCTCTTCTTTAGTTGCTTACACCATTCAAACCAGGCTACTTACATTCTTTTGAATCATATTCAATTTGGGGCTCATTTCCTCAAGTTTTAGTGTGTTTATAACATTTTTCTACAATTCTACAATTATACCAAGGCTGATGCCTACTGCATAGTGGACAGGCTTGCTAACTCTTTTACAGAGATATGAAATCTAAGCAATAATGCTATTTTGCAGCATTCCCCATATAATCTGCTATTAATTCACTATATAGCGATCGCTGCTATAATTAGAAGTCACTCATTTATTTATTTATTCTAAGGCAACAACAAAAACAACCAAGATACAAATAACAAGTCTAGGCAGCAAAATGAGTTTTAGATAATCAACAGATTAATCACATCTTTCTAACCAAATCAGGTTTTGCTTCAGCTGTGTACTGGAACAATCTGTACTACCAGTAAGATGTTCTACCTCAAAATCATTATTCAGCACCTCAAAAGTGTTGAAAAAAATAGGGAGATAAATTACAGCACATATTTATTATATATGTACAGCATATACACAATATCCAACTGTGGGATTAGTAAATTTCATGTTTTGATTTCATAAGGAAGGCAAGACAAAAAGAAAACGAGAAAGGATTACGTTTTGCATTGTGATATTGTCAGATGGGAAGACAAAAATTATATGGTAAAAAGGAAGAAGTGAGAGAGTCAATGAATAAGAAGAAAAAATAAAATCAGTATGACTAACATAAGGAGGTGTCAGTAACTCAAGTATATTAAATAAGATGAGTTCCTTTTGTGGAAATTACGTGGTGAATGCTTTTAAATATGTATTATAATATGTGTACTTAAAAATATGTATTAAAATATATATTTAAAAATGTTCTATATGTCAGTTCAACATACTGACATATAGAAAATCTCAGTAGAGTCATATACAATTGTGTAATGGAATTTGTTAATCAAAAATAAAATGGATATCCTTACCTTTAAGGCAAAAATGAATCATTTTAATCAAAACATAATAATCATACAATAAGCTATCAATGCAACTAGATGAAATATAACTGATATGTCTTGTAATATTATAATCCTTAATATTTATTTGCATTTTTGATGTGGTTACAAATCCTGCTCCATATCCCCACATTACATGAGAAAGAACTGATTGAAAATTAATTATTTCAGTTCTGTATTCAACAAAGAACTTATCAAAGCTTTATTTGTCTCAGCCAAATGTCACTTCATATGATGAAGTTGCATCAGTGGAAATTCTGAATATATCTTAAGTAACAAGCTTGCAATGATGTAGTTAAACATTGGCATGGTTGCCCTAAAAGGCAGTGGAGGCCCCATTAAGGTACTCCCACTAATGTACTGAAAAGTGGGCAAGAGTGAAAATGGGCAAGGCACCGAGCAACCAATTTTAAGGGAGCCTTGCTCTGAGCAGAGGGTTTGCATCTCCATAGAATCCTCTGAACATGTTATTCTACAAAGTCTATGAATTAAACAAATTAAAAAAATAGTAATTTTTGTAGATATCAAAGAACAAGAGTGCTCTTCCAGTGCACTGACATCAAGATGAAAACTTGCCATTAACTTATAATTTATTTTATTCTAAAATTCTATACAATGCAAAAGGTGATATTCAAATAAACACCAGCATTCTAAGGGAGAGGCGAAGAATGTAGCAGGACAGGACAAGTGAACACTCTTAAAAATGATATAATGAACTAAGAAATCTGTTTTCATCTGTCATTTACATGCCCAGGAGAGTAACCTTCAGCTTTAGTACTTCTACTTCGAACATTTTTTTCCTTTTGAATCTCTTCTCTGAATAAACTGCATGTGACTATATACTGATTAACAAACGCAGTAAGAAAACTGTAATATTCCAAAATAAGAGAGGAAGACAACACAATTTGTTTTGATCTAAATAAATCCACCATCTTTTAGGTGAAAGCTGAAGAGCAGCTTTATTCTCTGAGCACCAAGATGGCAGCATCTGTTACACTCTGCTACTGCATAAACTTTCTGACTTTAGCCACATTGAGGCAGGGCTATTTGTATTTCTGCAGCAACTCCATATATTCAGAACATAGTATGAGACATCAAGTTCATGAACTCTTCTGACCTTCTTTCGCTGCTTAGCTCATTAATGCAGAAAGCTATTAATTTATCAAATGAGTGGGCAATTACCTCCTGAAGAACCCTCTTCATTTTCAGTAGCAATGTCTTTACAGCTGTGCAATCTTGCAGCATCAGTCTGAAGGGCAAAGATTCAATGCCTCCGCCTTCTTCCAAACCAGTAAAAGGCCACTCCACAGATGGGCTGCCAGCCAGCTGGCTAATTCGGGGATACCTGGCTTCTCCTTGTTCTACCTCCTTCGACAGTTTCAAAGAGAGGTTCCTTAAAAGAGGAAACAGAAAGATCAACACTGAAATGAGAATGAAAATAAAGAACACAGCAATTATTATGCTTTAACAGAAGTAACGTTAAAAGACACACTACATATTCACTTCTTGAGCCTGCTAGCATAAATGGCCTTTATATATACATAAGGCCATATGGTGTTAGCAATAAAATATGCATTTAGAAATTCATTTCTTTCTACAGGAATTAGGAGCATGCTATCTCAAGCCCTTCAGAAGAAAGATATTTTGTAACAAAATATCCTATGGGCAAGGCTGCTATGACTCTACTGTTTTTCAGTTCAGCTTTATGAAAAAATGAATAATCACCAAATTTGTATGCACTTTGAAAAGCTAAATCACATTCTTCCATATGCTTTGACTTAGAAACTCAGAAAGAAAGGAAAATCACTAAAGAAAACACCTTCTCCTAGCCTGGCCCAGTGATGTAAGATGAACATAATCTTCTGTAAACTGGAATTTGAAATGTAATTAATCTGTGCTCTCTCTGAAATTTAGTTACCACTGAAGTTATTTAAGCAGAACACAAAACAAAACAACATTAAGCTGTATTTGAGACTAAAGACAACAGAAAGATTTTGAAAGATTCAGAAGTAAAGGAATACCAGTATTTTGCTTTTTACACCTGAAATCCTGTTTTGTGTACATATTTTTCTCTCATATCAGAGCACGTGTCACACTTCGCTATGCTGGACATTGTGTAGTACAGATCAACAAGACCAACAAGGTACTGCAGCATACAAGTTATGAAAAAAGGCTGAAAGGCTGCTCAGTTTTCCAAAGTGAAAGAAAAGGGAGTCTCAATGGACCAAGGAATACCCACAGTGAGAGGGTTTGGATATGATGGGACCAGACAATCTTTGGGGCTGCGCAGTAACAGGATGAAAGGAAATCGATGGAAGCCAGAATACAGGAAATCAATTAGGGATCATGTTATTTATTTACTCACTTACTGCTATGAGGGCTGCCAAACACAGGAATGGGGAACCAGAGAAGGTACGGGACCTCCATCTTTAAAGATGGGACAGAGCCCTGAGTAACCTGCTTTAATTGAACCTGCTTTGAGCTGAAGCATGAAGCAGAAACCTGCAGAGATTCCCTGCCACCTGTATGACTCTATGATCTAGAGGTCATGGATTCAATCAGCCAAAACCAGTCAGAATTAGCCAACAGTTTAACAGTACGGTACCAAAAAGTTTAAAAAGAGATTATTTTGACAGAACAAAATGTAATTAAAATGACCAATGATTTTTCTGGCATGAAAGTAACCACAACCTCAATGTTGGCACCTATTTTATTTTTGAGCAGTAGGAAAAAAGGACAAATCTCAGTGGAGAATAAATCTGAGAAAGTGGCTACAATGTGCAATGATGTTATATTGAGTAAATTACAAAAGGATTATAACAGTAATGCATGACACCTATATGTATGCTAAATTAATTCACTGTAATCAAAGATATTAGTATATGTAAGAACAATTACTATTATTACTATTACCCTCTTTTCAGCAGTCTGTGGGGACAGGACAAGGGGAAATGGCCATAAACTTGAGCATAAGAAGTTCTACACCAACGTGTAAAGGAAGCGCTTCACAGTGACAGAGCATTGGAACAGGCTGCCCAGAGAGGTTGTGGATCCTCCTTCTCTGGAGATATTCAAGACCCACCTAGCCAGACACCTGTATGTGTAGCCTGCTGTAGGGGGCCTGCATTGCACAGGGGCTGGACTCAACCTCTAGAGGTCCCTTCCGATTCTGTGATTATACATTTAATGTATTCTTCCAATTTTCTATTCCATTTGAATTTTCATGCAACAAAATTGATTCTGAATTTTAAGTGCTGGCATCCTCTGAAAGAACAAAGACATTTTTCTAAGTGCAATATTCTTTCAAGTTAACTTCAGTTTCACTATAACCACATGCAAAAAAAGGATTAACAAGATTTCTTATAACAAACAATTCCTAATGCCATGCCAACAAATGGGAAAAAAAAAAAAAAAAAAAAAACCTAACAGAATTATTTCTATAGATTTTTAATATATATTTTGCACGCTATGTAATAGTACATTCGGGACAGCGCGTCAAGAAACTGACCAAAAAAAACATAGATTGCCCTGATGGTTAATGGAAATAAAATTTTCTAATCTAGGGTTTTCAACATTCAGATACTAGAATTAAATTACAGCATTTTAATTTGTGAAATATATATAAACAACTTTATGAATTGAATAGTTTGTATCTTTTAAAATAATAATCTGAAACAAATGGTAAAGGTGCAGTTGACAGAGGGATATTAATCCATTACTGATTCATAGCCTTTATTAAAGAAGCCTCAGGCATAAATCATGCAAAGAAAAATCATCTCTTAACAGAAGTTTCACAATATAAGCCACCCTTAAGGTGTCTATAAAAAAAAAAGAAGCCATTTTCAAACTATTGAAATCTCCACCTGAGTAAAATTTATGAAGCCCAAAATGCACGCTATTTGAGTAATACAAAACAACAAAGTCCTCTTTTTTTCCTGCCCAATGCCTGCAGACTGGGAGATGAAATATTTATAATATTCTGCATCTTCACATGGCGAGACCCACCAAAGCCTCATCTTCATGAAGGTGTCTCTTACAGTACATTCTAGGAAGAATTCGGCATCAACAGCAATATGCAGCTTCCCATGTGACTGGACAAACAAATAGTGGTCTTGGAGAAGTATCATCCTCTGCTACTTGGGAGCAATGCAGTGTTTCAGTATGAACCACAAATCTTGAAATTCAGCAAGATTTAATTTCAACTCAAGAAGATATCTGAATGACTTCATTGGGGTACATGCTGATATGCTGCTCAAGGTACAAAGTGACTGCCTTTTCAAATACAGAACTAAAATACTGAAAGAGCTATATACTAAGACATCACAACTCACAGACGTAAGTTTAAAATCTAACTCAACTGCCACTGAGAAATGGATGCTCAAAGCTGGCACGCAGTGAGTGCTTGAATTATATGGTACCTCTGAACAACCTGAGCAGAGTACAACTTATTTCTGACAGAAAATCACGATCCGATACAACTCCTTTTACTTGCTGCAGGAAAAAGCTCATCTAAAATTCATTTTAGAACTAATATTTCATCAAATTCTTTATTAACAATGTCCAGGTGGTCTATTACTATGGTAATCCACTGCAATTCATCTCAAAGCAACAGCAGAGATTTTGCAGAGAAAAAAAACCTGTGCCTCTGAGGCTGGAGAAGGGGCCTCTAGTAGTTAATCAAACCACACCACAAAATGTTCCCAGGCAGCAGAAGTCCACAGTATTAAAGCACATATGAAACATCTTGGCCCGATTATTATTATAACTCAATTAATGCTCTTTCAAGGATTCCCTAGCATGGTTTGAGTGCAAGTAGATTTTGTGTGGATGTTAGCAATGTAGAAGTGTCCTGAAGAATGATTCCACATAGATGTCACTTCAGACCCCTCAGCATAGCTGTGGAGATCTTTGCCTTGAAGCTTGAAACCCAGACAGACTCTTGGGCTACAGAAAAGACAACTTACTTCAGAAAACTCTGATATGAACCATGGGTGAAGTGGCAAATTAATTACAACTGTGAAGACTGGGAGGAAGCTGCTCTCAATTTTCTTCCAGATAATAAGTGATTCTCATTTGCTATTTGATGAAGATTAAAGTCTGACAGAGGTTGTACTTAAAACTCTGCCTAGGCTTTCAATCGACACCACAGGACAACAACATAATTCACATTGCTCAAGCAGGGTAAACCTGAAGCCTGGGGAACTGTACACATGCATGTTTCGTCTACACGGAATCATCACAAATGGTTACTGAGAAAAGCAAACTTAATGTCAGTACAATTAACATAATCATAAGATCTTAAAAGCCAAAGCAAATTTGTTACAATTTTGTAAATTTAATAGAATGAAGATCTGTGCAACTTGGTGGCATTCGGCGCTTACTGTCTTGTTTCTTGTTTTATCTGTATATACAACTGAATATCATAAACATATTTCTTCATTTTGAATGCATTAAAAAAATATATCATAAGACACAATATCCACATTTAGTAAAATGGCAATACCACCAAGACAGAGCAGTTCAATTTTGAAAGTAATCTTTTATGAAATAGTGAGAGAGCATTAAAATAATCAGTCAGTGACTCTTAGCATTTTAATAGTCTCCATAAATCCAATGTAACTGTGTGTTAACTCAGGAACAGATATGACTGTGCTTCAAAGCTGTTTTCCCTTAAGAAGGTAAAACAAGAATAGTTTTCTTATTCCAAAGCATCTTTGAAGGTTTTTACTGTAAAAGAGAAAGACCCACAGATTTGCAACTTGAGCTAGTTTTAGTTATTTTTCCCTTCTTACTGATCCACAAATGAATGTTTTGAAGAGCTTATGGTAATTTGGACTTCACTTACATAAAGATTACCAGATTACACAGAGTTTAATCTTCTTAGTTTTCATCAGCAATACAAAAGATGTTGCTACATCAGAGTTAGCCTAAGTCCCACAGAGTCTGCACTTCTTGATACCAGCTTAACGTAACAGAGAACATGTAGCTCTGCAGGCATCATGAAGGCTCTACAAGCCCAGCAAAGGACTCCAGCCTTAATGAGAAGAACTGAACATACCTCTTCTCTCCCCAGAGGGCATATCTTCTGAAGTAGCAGCTCAGAGAAAGTCTTAAATGATTGTCTTCAATTTTCAGTGCGAAACACTATGTATTCATGTCTAAAAACATCACGTGTGTATATAGTCTTATTGTATATATGTAAAGTTATAAAAATTATACACACACACATATATAAATGCATATATAAGCTGGAATGGGCTGCCCAGGGAGGTGGTGGAGTACTGTCCCTGTATTCAACAGGTGTCTGGATGAGGAGCTACAAGATATGGTTTAGTAGCTTGTGGTAGCAATGGTAATGGGCGGAAGGTTGGACAAGATGATCTTGTAGGTCCC